AAAAAAGCGGCGTTTTTTGTTTCAATAACCTCGTAACCGTACGTCATCGCGGGCTCATCGCGCGATTCGAATCGCGAAAATGATAGCTTCGACGCGTAATAACGTAATTGCGATAATATTGCGACCTCTCGTCGCAATATTGACTCCATTTACGTAAACTCGACATTAAGAGAACTCGAAATTTTAGTGACTCGATATTGTAAATTTTTTGTAACAATTGATTTTTATATATGCCCAGCAGGTTCTTTACCTCGATAAAATACGATTTATTTATAGACCGTGCGATATTTTCGCATAAAAAGAGAAATAAGAGACAAAATTATAACTTGAACAGCAATTTTCAGCAATTTATTCCAAATTCTTCTCTATTTGTTGATATTATCATTGACTAATAACGAAGTACTCCGAGCAAATTATTTCATAGGAAACATATCGACTCATAGTTATCACAGAAATCTGTCAAATTCGATATGTTAAAGTAATTAGAGAGAGAAACAGGAGGAGAGTCATAATTGTCTGAACAGTCACGTGCGGATTTCGATTTTCCCATATACGGACTAATACCCAATTGGAAAGTAATCTCCTGAAGATAATGCCGACTTACGATCGGAATCCGTTAAATCCGTTGCGTGTACGCGGTAATTCACGCAATTATTCCAAGACGTGACCATGATGGTCTTAATGGTGGTGTTATACACGGTTATGATTTTCGCGATCTATCGAGCTATCCCATTACGTTCGTTCCCGTAACAATCCTGCCGTGTAGGCTCGACGATAACTGTAGCTTGTTACGGTGCGACGTGTGTGTAATGCTATAGTCCTATCAGCTTTGAACCCAGAGTGCTAAAAGATATCTCTCGTGAATTCGACTAGTTGTACACCTGAAATCTACCGAGCTTACGATTTCCACCCACGCATCGTCCGTCCCGCATCCCGAACTTCTCGCCCGAGTGAATTACATTCGCGTTCGCAAACGTATGTGCGTGTTTGTCTGTATCACACGCTTGAAGACACATTAGGAAACATGTAAATGTCATGATAAGATTGCTCGATTACGATCCGAATTCATTCCTAACACATCCTTACGACAATCAGAGACGTATAGGATCGTTTTTAAGAGATGACAGTGTATTTTAAAATCAATATCAATGTGCCGGAAATTAATATTTTGTGAAGAATTCCATTAAAAATTGTACAAATTTTACTAATTTTGAAGAAATTATGTAAAGAAATCATTACAGCAGTAAAACATATATGTATAAAATATATTTATATAAAATTAAATGTGTATTATTACTTATAAAAGTATAACATTTATTGAATATATAATTATTGATCGATTCTTTCATATTAAAAACTACATCGCAACAAATTTAGTTCATTATTAATTTAAAAGTTTCTGCAACAAAATGAATTTGTAATGAATTTATAATGTAATATCGTACAACATCGTAATAATAATTATTGCATATCTCTTTTACGCAAACCTGATACTTTCTCAAGAAAGTTTCGAATAATGTTTCTAGTAATGTTTATTTTAACTATAAACTTTATTCCTCAAAGCGTGCCATGCCACATTAACACGAGAATCCGTGAGACATGCTAGCAGGTGAATAGCGCATGCCGAGGAATTTGGCCACAATCTTAATTGCGGAGACGTTTCTCGACGGGAAGGAGAATGTCACGAACAAGAAAGATGACGTCGACTCTCCCGTGAGCGAAAGATGGAGTCGAAATACAGTGAAAGACTGTCTCATTCGAGGCGTCAAATACCCGTAGCAATCTCCGGCGATGCAACACGTGCATCAAGATTTCTCCTAAATCATCCCCATTTCTAGTTTCGCAATTGCTGGATATTTTGCGACGTACGTTCGCGATATTGTGTTTCTAAAACCTGCATGAATTATACACGTAGCACATCGGCGTGAATAAAAGTGGCAACATCACACCTGCAAAACAATCAATGGCAGAGTAAAGACGAATTTATTATTATTTATTTACGGCGGCGATATGTACGATATCTACTTTCGAAGTGAAATTGATTATGCACAACTGCATCCCGCGTTACATATAGCTTCTCGCATTAATACTATAGACACTCCGTGATTTTTCCTTTGCTTTTATCCTTTTACATGTGTACAACACACAATGGCGATGCACCGTTCGCAATTTTTATACAATTTAATGTGTCATCTTTGCATCCCCTAGCACATTTCGTGAAGAAATAACGCCATCCACTGCTGCACTTTGCTACATAAATATCAGAAATGGCGAATCTATATTATTAGACACTTTACGTAAGCGACCGCGATCCATTATTCTTTCTTTCTTTATACGCTTGAAAACAAGTTTAGAAAGTATTCTTATCATTAATCATTGATAAACATTCTGAGCAACAAATTGCCGCTAAAGTACCGCACATATAGCTAATGGAATTGCCACCCCGACCTTTGCAAAGCGATTTACTCTCGCTCTATCATCCCATTCAGTCATACTTCAGCTATCCGCGCGAGTACATCATCGCTCAGCGTGCGCCGATTTATCCGCTTGTGAAAGCGCTCTCTCGTACGAATTAGCCGGGAAGCAGAGTGCGAGTACGATCGTAGATACATAATGTACTCGCGCGCAGATACATATGGAATCTTGATGGATATAAAAGGTCGATGTAACAGCTCCTCGTAGACGTGGGAGAAAGAGAGAGACGCCTCTCCTCCTTTTGCTTTAAGCCACCTGCGGATCGTTCATCATACCAGTAATGCATCTACCGCCCCCGCGTTTCTCTTGGTCTCTTTTCCGTCGACGAAGCGGGGGATGATCTTCGACGCGAACGGGAAAGCCGCGACCAATATCGCGTCCACCCCCCCTCCCTCCCCCTCCTTTCCTTTTTACTCTCCTCGGTTACCGCATCCCACCGCCCTTTCCCTGACACCCCAGCTGATACACCCCGCCAAGGAGCTCTTCCAGCTATGCAACCTCCGGTAATGCGCGCATCAATAACCTATCATATCCAACCTTCTGGATGCGGTAGCGGCGTGCATTTCAGCTCTCTCGCTTCTCCGACACGTTCACCCTCCGATCTCAGACGCGTCGATCTCCTCGAGCTTGCAGCTAGATACTTCTCCGGAGGGTCTTTACTATGCATATATATATACATATATATATGTTCCTTAGAACGGATGTTATGTAAATCGAAACTAGAAAATCGTTTTCTGATAGCGGCTCGGAAAAAATCCAGCGATTTTGCGCCGACACACCTCTATTCGAAACGTGTTGTACATGCAACACTAGGGAAACTGTGCGCGGAAATTGTCAATTTTTTCCAGAGATCCCTGTGTTGAAAAATATTGAATATTTCCAAGTGTCTTAGAACATAAATAAGGTATGAAAAACTTTTCGCGCAATTCGATAAACCTATTCGTTATAAAACGGAATATCGATTCGCCTTGACTAAGCATAGTTCCTCACAAAAATATAATGCAAAAAAGTGATGTAATGAAAACAATCGTTTAATGAGTTATTTTACAATATTAAGACTGATGCTGTATTAATATTCATATGTTCAAATTTTAATTTAATATAATATCTAATTATATTATAGAGACGCAAAGCTTTCCACAAAATATTTCCCTATAATTTTTTTTCTTCTTGAAAAAAAAAATCAGAAAAACGATGAAATTCAATTTTTGTTCCATCAATCATAATATAAATAATATAATATATGAGAGAAAATCATGTGAAATAAATTCAAGCATCAATGAACGAAAATAAAATAAAATAAAATAAATTGGCACAATAATTCTAAACCGTTACAAAAGTTCATTTATTCATAACATTTCAACAGCGAAATATGTAAGAAAAATAAAATTGTAGAAAGAGCTTTTATTATTCGTTAATAAAAAAGTCTCACTTGATATTCTTTCTTTCTGATTGATACTTTATTATGTCCATTTGTATATTTTGCGACATGAACCACGACGCATTTGTAATTTCGTCGAAAAGTCGTCCAAAATGCTCGCTTCGCAAAAACGCAAAAACCAGACCATATCCGATGCATTTCGACGCGATGCTTCTCGTGATAATTAGCCGCCGAAACGAATTATTATTTCTGCGGACACGCGTCTGCAGCCGCAAAATTGCCAATTTTCTCATTTAATTCGCTAGTTTCGAAGCGAAAAAAATTGAACAGAAATAATCATAGTACCAAGTTTTTAACAGTGATAATCGTCACTATAAATTCCCAACATTTTTCGCATGCATACTAATATCACCTAAGATTAGATTGTAAAAATGGTAAAAGAGGGAGCAAAGAACGTCAATGCTATGAAAAATTCATTTCAACATATTGCTCTGCAGATATCTTGTCATTAATAATGTAATTTGGGATTGCATTTAAATAATGTAATTTTAATAATGTAATTCGGGATTGCAATTAAAGCGATTGCAATGCACTCATATCAAATACACGATTGAACATTTCTTACAAATAGGAAATAAGACACGTATATATTAAAAAAATCAATAAGAAACATGCATACAATACATTTATTGATTCTAATTGAATAGTGTGAATGTAATGCGATATTTCCAAGAGATACTTTTAGTGATTTGATAGAATTTTGCGTATATCAGAAATACAATAAAAAATACTAAATTATAATTAAAGATATTATTTTTATGTTTTGAAATTTTACGTACCCTTCGCGAAAAGTTTATGCAAGAGAGATTTCTTCTATTTGCCCTCTAATGCCCTCATTTTTCTCAATTGTCAAAACGTTCAATATATTTATTTTTATATTTATGCGATATGCATCGAGAAACTTTCTTATTAATGTCAAAAATTATGTCACGTGTGACTATATCGATAGTGTTTATTTTGGATATCTCTTATCGCGACTACATTTTAGAAGAATTTATTATAAATTGTTGTAGAATCAACGAGACAACGCAACAATTTTTCCCCCTGCTCATTTTCGAACAAAGAACAAATAAAAAATACTTACATTATGCGTCCTGAGGATCATTTCTCTATTCACAGGATCGACCTCGCTGCGCTCGCTGGCGTAACACAAGTTCGCGTAGCCAATTAACTGTAAAAAAAAGAAAAAACGTGCGCTCGTATAATAAGCCCTGGCATCAACGTAAAAGTCTTACTCGCGTAAAAAGAAGTCCGCGCTATTTAAATGTAGTTTCGGCGAGAACTGGCTGGCAAACTGCTAAAAACCGATTCAGTCACCGATAAAAATCTCGGAAGTGCTATAGACAAGCACTTCCGGTTTCAAACTTTCCGCATTGAATTCGACGATAAAGCCTTCGAAACATCAATGGTATGTTTCAGTCTTCGAGAGTTACTTTGACTCGATTTCACGACTTTTCATAGCGTGTTCAGTAGAACGAAAAAAAGAAATGCTATGAGAAATTAGAATAATTCGTAAATTATTCATCACCGCATAATGTGTGATAAAATGGATAAAATTAATTTAGAATTAATATATCACAGACATATCTGTTACAAAGTTGCTTTCAATTCTATGATGTATTATTCCGCTAATCCATCAAGTATAAACATTCTTCATTATAACAAATTATAATTAACCTCATATTTAGTTATTCTACTGACTATTATTGATTTATTACAAATAGCATTAATAAGATATAATTTGCAGGAATTATATACAGTAGCATTCACGTTCAAAATCGGGGAGGTAAAACAACGGACCTTTATGGAAATACATTATATACTCATATCAGTATGTTTATATGTACACGAGGCAAATTAAATAAACAAGCGATATTTACATGAATAGCGCTGGGCTCTATAGAAAGCGATAAGCGACTATTAATTGGTTCTGCGTCAGAACGCGGACGGTAATCAATTTTGTTAAACACCTACAGTGACGGTTGCATTATCCTGCTTTCACAATGATACAAGGAGCATACACGAAAGCCCGAAATTAATGATATCATTTATTCAATCGTCGCGTAAAATATGTCTAAGCTGTCGAGTTTGATGAAAAAAATTGCAAAATTATACAAAAATTATCAATCGCAGCGACATTGACACTTTTTCGCTGAAAGATACCGCGGACAGGATTAATCGTAAAACGTCAAATAAAAAGAAGAGTCATCCTAGGGATAAACACAATGCACAGTGATCGATCAATCGACTTTGCACCATGAATTTTGGCGCACAATTTTGCAGCGCGATGAAACAACAAGCACTTGGATCGAGTAATTATTAGAACTAATCGACGACGATAAATAATTCGGGAGCGTAAACATTCCGGGTGTCTGAGCCGCCTATTCCTGCCGAGAAGAAATAGAGCGCCGCTTTTCACAAGTTTGCGCGACTGCGCGATATTAATAACAAATTAGCATGAGTAATTAGGTAATTAGAAAGACGCTAATTGGGCAGGCATGCTAAGTACACTTTAATTATTATTCCTCTTGCGATTAATTATGCATATTCTAATTAGTCGCTCGAATAAACCGACCTGTTTATACGACGCTCGGCTGCCAATTCGAGCATTTTGAGCGAACGGGCGCGAAAGCCAACTTTTTTTCCAGGGCGCGTTTCATTGTCGAGTGCATTGCATGCGCTAATTGCTTGGAATAGCGCGGGTGGATGCATTGAAAACGGCGTCGACGAAAGCGTCGCGACCGAAATGCTCTTGCACACTTTTCCATTCGTTAAGTAATTTCGGGCGTATCTAAATACTGCAACTTTCAGCTCTCTCCTTCTCTCTCTCTCTCTCTCTCTGTGGTAACAGAATAAAATGCTCGAGAAATACGACTACTATGTATGATCGCACACCTGCTCGACTTTATATTTGTACTACATTAAAATTTCCAACTCTTCTCTCTCCAACGAATTAAATTTTTGGTATTCTAAAAATTTTGTCCAGAGTTTAAATTTGAAATTCGTTCATTAAACGTTTTACGTTATTCAAGAGGGACACAAGTTTTCCCTCCATTCATTTCACATTTGTTATTTCTTTCTTATTTAATAAATGCGTTTTATTTGCAACAATAATTAAAAGCAAGGACAATAAAAATGAGAAGATTATATAAAGTCATTTATTATCATTCTATCAAGTGTCTCGACAATTTGAAAACATTTTGCGTCCTCGTGTAAAATATCGTAAATTTCTTGCACGCTTTTTCTTATCGTCGACCGCCTGAACGATCACTTTATGTACCGTCGTTATTCGAGCACCCTATATGTGATATCGTGAGTCAAGCTATTCGAGCGAATGGTGCACAACGAAACGGCCCAGCGAAATGGCCGAGCTTATAGAAAATCCGAGAGGAAGCGATCCGCGAGAGAGGGATTCGACGCCCCGGAACCTCCAGTGTGCAAAGGCACCATGGGGTAGCGAAGGATGAGGAGGATGCCTGGATATTCCAGAAAAGCGGACGCGTCTGGCTGGACGATTGCCAAACGGCGTAACATTGAACGCGCTCATTATGGAAGTTGATGCCGGGTGCGGATGTTGTTTTGCAATTCCCCGAGTCCCCGGCACCTTTTTTTTGCGCGCGTCGCTCGAAAGTTTCGAATTTCCGGATCTCCGCGATACGCTGCCGGAGATTGCTAAGCTGGGACGAACGCTGCGGAGTTTTTGTCGACCCGCCACGGGCTACCTCAGAAAGAGGTCGGATGATTCTGTTACGCCGGTTCACGGATTGATTTCTTGTAGTTCGGAGAGATCAGCGCAATATCAATTTTATTGCGCGAACGATTGTGGAAAAAATTGCGCCGATAAAAATACAAGATATACATTAAAAGCACTCGGCGGCTAATAGAGGCAAAAAATGTATACACGAGAATGTTGCAGTAATTTTTCCATGAAAAATTGTTACATATAATGTCAATATACACAGAATATATTGATTAAAGCAAAACGAAAAAAACACAGAAATCATATCGTTGCCAGATGAAGGAATAAAGTTAAATTACGAAATTTAATTAATAAATTATACTCTGATTTTTCACAAAAAGAAATTTATAAAAAAAATTATGCATTTATCTATATAAAAAGATTCATGTTTAAACTATACATTTCGTACAAGTTATAATAAAAGAAGAAAAGTGAAATTAAATTATATATAATTCTACTAACTATATTCTATTAATTATAAACTTTTCAAATAATTTGTAAAAAACGTGAAAAATTATCAAACATTTTATATTTCGATCTAAAATACCACCAGGTATATGTCACGAATAGTCTCATTCACGCAAGAGTTCAAAAGTCAAACGTCAACTAACGTGCTAGTTACATTATGACAAAAAGTTAATCGTAAAGTTTACAATTGCGTCCAAAGTTCACTTTCTCACTGATGCTATCAGAAAATTTCAAAAACTGATATCATATGACTGATACGTTTGATATTAAAAGTCAATGTACTCTAAAGTATGAGTCATTAACAAGATATAAATATCACATATCGCGCATCATACGTTTAAAAAATTTATTTTAATTTAAAGAAATAACAAAGGCAACGACATTAAAATTGAAATTTTCTATTAAAATTTTCTATTAAAATTTTCTAGATTTAAAGTTATTCAAGTCAAGCGAATAAAAGTGATTACAAATACAAGATACATATTTATTTTTTGAGGGGCAATCGAACATACTGCATTTATATAAAGAAAGATGAAACAATAAACAATGAAAAAAGTTTGTAACTGTCCAAGTTATGTCATTCTAAGCTATATATTTTTCTTGTGCCAATAATAGTATAGTCCCGCGACTTTACGTGACGAGAAAAGTTGGAAGATTAAATTGTAAAAGGTTTCTGCGTAATCAGCGCCAATCGATAACTTATTCAAGCGTCACTGACGGACGACACGAAGTCACAAAGGTCTCGGAAAGGTTGTTTTGATAAATTTTTACGTGAATGAAGTGGTTGAAACCACGTTCCACGAGAGTGCGCCGTAAAAATCGATGAACCGAGCTGTGGATAAGTCCTCGCAAGGTTACCATCGCGCGCCTCGACCGCGCTTTACTCCGATTTGAGCGACGACCTTGTGATAGGTTGGCATCCACGTGACTACTCGACAACGCAATGAAATATTCTTTACGACTTGGCTACTTTATTTTACTGTCTCGACATATAATATTTTATAACAATTCTTTATCACACATGCAAAAATTCAACGCTACGTCGCGCAATTATATAGAATCTCTCCTCATTAATTTCCCAATTAACTGACATGATTAGAGATTCGAGTGATGACGCGCAATGACGCATGATCCATTCTGTAGTCACTTAAATCTAATCATGCTAATTAATTGATAATGAGGAGAAATTATGTGTGATTGCAGCGTTGAATTTTTTTCGGTATTAAATTTCAAATTTTGCATTATAATATAGCATATAAATATAGACATAAATGTACGTAACATAAAAACGCTTTGGTTTTGCATTTCGAACTTTGCATTATAATGTAAAATGCATTTTCGTATGTAAATTTTATATTATAATGTAAAAAGCATTCTCATGCCAAGATGCTATTTCATTTCTTCAAGTTGAAATAGCTGACTAATATTCACAAAATTAAAATGAATACCACATCGAAAAGGCACGTTTCTTTACGTTAATTACATTGTTGCAAAACAACATAGTATAAAATATTCACATATCTGTGTAAAATAAATTCATTCATTAAAAAGCTATATACAAGACTAGAAAGATCACGTGTACAGTAATATATCGATACATCGCGAGATGCTAGACAGCATTTCATAAATAGCACGTGACAGAACTCTACGTAACAAGCACGCAACAAGCTCGTGTTTCTACGTCAATGATGTCCAAAATCGATACAATTGTATTAGTTTCGCATATGTTAACAAATGGTATTGAAATAGTTTCGTGACGTTTTAGCGAAATCTATATTGAATGCAAAAATCCCTTATATAAGCGGGCTGATTTCGTATCTCAATATGACTTACAATTTAGAAACTATTACGATTATATTACCTCTAATAATCTCGGATTACCGCTCGAGAGGGTTAGGTTAGGTTAGGTTAGATATCGAACGCGCGATGAAGCGTAATGGCACGTGGCAAAATTGCGAGACTTACCGCTTGCGTCCACTTAGGAAAGCCCCACTGGGTAGAGACAACGAGCCTGTGGGTGTGGAGGACACCGTCGACTACTTTTCTATCGATGACATCCGCCCCAATTACCGAGGGCACCATAGGGTTCGGATATTTCCTCCATGCGGCTTGCGCTACCGTTTCCCATGGATGACTGCAAAGGAACTTGAAGTTATCAAAAGGCTTATATAAGGAAGAATCGCGCCAATATAATTTTCAAAAATTATTCAGCGAGTTTATCTTTTGCGAGAGAGAAGAAATTAATTTCGTTTACTTAGATTAAATTCATGCGTTATTTTAATTGATTTTCCTTTAATTAATTAATTTTCCTTCAAGCTTCCGAGATAATGTTTTACAAAGAGCGAATTAAAAAGATGATAAATGTACTATAGACTTTTAAATCGGACTTTAAATATCGGATATACACACACATACACACACTATACATACACACATACGTACATATAACCTATATTCGTTCCCTAATAACGAGAAATTGTCTCATTCATGGAAAATAACAAGGTTGGGCATACAAGCGATATTTTCAGAAATAACATATGTCGAGAAGTAAAAAAGCGCGATATGAGGCGAGGATCGGAGCATTTAAGGACCACACTCCATACTTACTCGAATGTATGTTCAGACGTCCAGATTTTCATAGCGTTATGGTTAGGACGAGCGACGCTGCATGAAGGGCGAGCAATGTAATTTAACGTGCGACACGTGCGCGAAATAGGCTGTCGATTCCGAGCGTCCGCTTCGTCGAGCCGTCTTTAAAGATATGATGTAAGTGGGAAAGATTTTACAAGCTAGTATGTTCTGTCCCACGCTAAACAGCGTCAACCGTGTACATACCAGCCAATGGCTGACACATTACGTCATTGGTCGATTTACGTGTGCGATTATCGCGCGCTAAAATCAAATGCATTTAAATGAACTTCACACTCTTACTGGATATTTATAAAATGTATGCATATAATGGTTATTAAATAATTCACTAATTTTGTGACGAATAATTGATGTATCTCGAAGAATTAGAAATTAGAAATAAGTTAATCAGTTGATTAGTTTTAGATTAAAATTAGATTAATTAAATTTAGATTAATTTAAAATTGATAATAATTATATCTTGGAAAGTGAGAAGATTAATAAATCAGAGTTATGTAAATATAAATCAGAGTTATATAAATATAAATATAATATACGAGACCGTATAATATTATTTTTAGATATTTACATCATTCTTTTTCTTGAAAAAGATCGATATGCTGTAATTCTGTAGGTAAACAACTAGTATCTGCAAAGAAATTTATTATAAAAATTAGATTAAAATTAGATTAATTTTAAATTGATAATAATTGTATCTCGGAAAGTGAGAAGATTAATAAATCAGAGTTATGTAAATATAAATCAGAGTTATATAAATATAAATATAATATACGAGACCGTATAATATTATTTTTAAATATTTACATCATTCTTTTTCATGAAAAAGATTGATATGCTGTAATTCTGTAGGTAAACAACGAGTATCTGTAAAAAAAGAAACTTATTATAAAAATTTAAAATACTTGAACCGCTTATAAACAATAAAATGGAATCTTACTTCTCATGTGTAACGGCACAGCAGGTTGAGGGCCTTTATGTTCCAAAATGACTTTCTTAACTGCTTTCAACGCATTGTATACCATTCGAGACTTTGGAGCTTTTGCTAAATAAACTGCGCATTGTCCCAAAAGTACATCGCATTCTGGCATACCAATCATTTGACACCCATACATTGTATCAATAGCTACACCTAAATTTTGAGAACAATTTATTTATTTATTTATACTTACACTATGTGAAAACAACTCTCTTTTCTTACCTAAAGCATCTGGATCAGCTAAACCAATATCCTCGCTTGATATCCTAACTAATCGTCTTGCAATGTTTACTGGATCTTCCTTAGCTGCCATAATTCTCGCCATCCAATACAGCGAAGCATTCGCTTTGCCAGCTCTTATTGATTTATGAAGAGCAGAATATAGGTGATAACTCTGATTGGTTTCTTTCTCAGAAAGTATATGTGCTTTTATTAAACTCTCTTTAATATCTTTCAATATAATGTCATTATTACATGATGTTTTAAATCTATTTGTTGTTTTTGTAAGCACTGCTAATTCTAAAGTATTCAAAGCTACACGTGCATCACCATCGCATGCTTCTGCTAACCATTGTATTGCATCATTATTAATACAAAATTTAAGATTTGAATGGAAATTCAACTCTTTATTCATTTCACTTCTTTCTTGTGCATCGAATATGCTTCCATTCATGTACTCTATTGCTTTATGAAGGATTTCCTTTATATTGCATTCTGTTAATTTTTTCAGTACAAACACACGACAGCGGCTTAGCAAAGCTGGATTCAAGCTGTAAGATGGATTTTCAGTAGTACATCCAATTAAAGTAAATGTTCCTGCCTCTACATGCGGCAAAAATATATCTTGCTGAAGCTTGTTGAAACAATGAATTTCGTCCATAAAGACAATAGTTTTGCATCCAAATTTAGATTTGTTCTTTGCTGTAGTAACAGCATCTCTTATATTTTTTACACCAGAACTTACTGCAGATAAGTTCACAATGTGTACATTATTACTTGTTATTTTGTTGCTTAAACACGCTATTATCTTGGTTAAGGATGTCTAAAATATAAAGTACAAAGATAATTACTCTCTATAAAATATAGGAGTAAAAAAATATAAAAAATGGTAAAGAATTAAAATTACCTTTCCACATCCAGGTGGGCCCCAAAATATCATACTGGGAATCTCTCCTTTTTCCAATAAATAGCTCAAAATAGTGCCTGGACCAATGATATGCTCTTGTCCTATATAAGCTGCAATATTTGCCGGAATCATTTTTTCAACGAGCGAAACATGTTCCATATCTATTTTCCTATCTCTCTCTGATAATTGTACTTTGGAATGTTTTAAATTAGATTTAGATATTGATACATTTTCCATGGTATTTGACATTTGATTTGTAGTATGCGCTGTAGTCCTTTTGATTTCATTGTTTATCACACAGTTTTCTTCAAGAGAGAACGATCTTTTAGATTTTCCTTCCATGTAATTTTATTTCTTGGTGTTATGTTACCCTTTCTTTTTACGCACTAAATATTACATGTTGTGTTTGTATCTGGCGAGTATTATTAGCCTTAGCACGGATACATACCAAATAGCAACTTTATCGACAGTCAAAAATCGACAGGCTAAATAATTACAATTTTCAATAGCACATGTAATGGCGCTGTTGCGTAAATTTACCATCAGCAGAGAGAACCTCTCTGCTATCAGCAAAGAGAAGACCGAGAGATGTCATGGCCCGCTTTTAGGTGATCCCTAGAAGCGATATTACCTCTGCGACCGAACAATAAAAACGTGGACATGAATTACAAAACCAATGTCCACGAATGTTTTCAGAGATTAACATATGTGTCCCACTGATAATATAAATAATATAAATAAAAATGTAAATAATTTAATTAATAATAATTTATAATATAAAAATATTAGTATATTCTCTTTTTTCACGCTATTATTTATATTATATATTTATATTATATACTTATATTATATATTTATTTATTTATGTGTCTCCTTTTCTTTTTCTCAACATCATTCATTTATTTATTTATAAGAATTAGATTTTTTATACTTTTTAAAAGTTATACTCAAGAACAATTTTTTCGATAATTGTGCAATTGATGATATTAAATATTTGTTCAACGGACAAATAAAAATATAAATAGGGCGTAATAATCAGTTTCTCAAAATCATTTATTTTGAACACTTTGCTTTATAAAGGGATCTGTAAAAGTACTGTTTGTTTGCGTGCTTAATTTGTGCTTAGCGTTTACATTTATAACAAATAATCAGAGAAAGAATCAGAGGAAGAATCAGAGGAAGAATCAGAGGAATAATTCTCGAAATTGTAATTAATATTACTGCGAGTCATTTTCTTCTTTCTTTCTCTTCCTTAAAAAAAGAAAATTATTTAAATGTCTTATTTATATAATAATCATAACATATATGTAGATATTATACAAAAAAAATATTAACTTGATTAAATATACTTATTTCGTTATTGTTTTCAGTCTGACAGTCAAATCGCAAAGTTAAGATTAATACAAAGATTCGTGATACATCAATCGTATAGTAAATTAATCAATAATTTAAAATACTTCTCTAAATTAATTTAATATTTCGCGCGTATATGTATGCTAAATATTTTTGCAACAAATTAATAATAATACCACGATCTTTGTAACATATAATGCATTGGTATTTAAAAGTGTTATGGTTCTTATCATTCGCGCAATGATTCTTGAACAGAAAAATAACGCGAGAAGCTCCGTCAACTTGTTTTTCTAAACGCGATTGATTTGATAAGTATATTAAGAAATAATTTGATATGGTTAATACTTAATTTCATATATGTTAAATAATATGTAAAATTACGTCGCGATATATCTCGAAATATTTAGCAATGTGTACAATTTAATCAAAAATTAAAGTGATAGATATTGTGCGTAAAAATTATTATTTTAATGCTTAGAGTCACAAATATATTTTATCCGTCTTACTTTATCATTCTATTTGACAATATAAATATAATTTAGATTATGAGAGAACACGAAGTAAAACAATCGAATTATAGATGCAAATAATTAGCATAACGAAAGGCTCCGTCATAAATTGTTTAATAAATAATCAATTTTAATCAATAAATTGTTTTATAGTCAGTGACGGGTAAGATACATTTAAAATGTATCTCGATACAGATACAGATACATGTAAAAAAATGTATCTAGATATAGACATAGATACACAAATTAAAATGTATATAGATACAGATACTCAGATACTTTAAAAGTATCTCAGATACAAATAAGATACTTTTAAATAATATTTTATCGTAATATGCACAAAAAACTACTCAATATATCTTTTATTTGTTTTATTTTATATTTTATTTACATTTCTATGATTTTTTTATACAAGCCGCAGCGAGAATGACTTGAGCAAATTATTTGAATTAATGTGTGTCGTAGTCAATAGCGAGATATTTTTGATTTTTATCAAATGTGTAATTTTCCTTCTATTTAAAATTTAAAAAAAACTTGAAAACAAGAAAAAGAGATAGTAAAGAATTTAAGTATAAATTGTTACGGATACAAATAAAACAATGTAAAAAGAATTTACATTTCTTTGCATTACATTTCTACTTTATTGTTTTAAAAGATCAAGAATCAAGATCACATAGAAGCAATAGACATTTTTGCTTTATTTATTAGTATTAGTCTTACACATCAAAAATGCTTCAAAAATATCGTCACTTAACTATTTCGCCGTAGTATTAAAATTTGACCACCAGTACTAAATAACCGCTTAACTGGTGCTGATGATGGTATAATTGTATTAAACTTTAAAAACAAGTGTTTTACATTAAGAAAACGTGTTATTAATATACTATCTTTTTGTTTATCGGATAAATAAAAAAGCTAGTATATCTACTGATAGCACTATCCGTTGTTGTTTCTATGTGATCTTGATCTTTTAAAAATTTAAAGAATTGACGCAAATTTATGTGCCGCTATCAACGACAGTAAAAGTTATAGGCAGATAAAAAACATACTTATTTCCATTATACAGACAAAAATACATGAAAATGTATCTAAAAATGTATCTGAAAATGTATCTGAAAAGCAGTTCAGATACTATATTTTATATCTAGATACAGATACAGATACTTCAATTTGATTATATCTCATATACAGGCAAGATATACAAAATGTATCTAGATATTACCCAACACTGTTTATAGTATATAAAATATTTCGACAATGAATTATCAATAACATTTATGTTCGATTTTGATAACGTAAATAATAGCGTGTTATTGTTTGTACGTTATGATTTTGCTATCATTTGTTCGGTGCCATTCGAGCAGTAAAGTAACGATGAGAAATGCTTCGTATGTTAATTAATTGTTTAATAAATAATCGTTTAATTAATCTATAAATTGAAAAACTTTTACAAATTAATATTTTCATGTATAACAGTATATGTAATAGTAAAATATTTCGGCAACGAATTATCGATAATACGGTGTTCGACTTTGGCAATATAAACAATAGCGCACTATTGTTAATATGTTACGACTTTATTATCATTCGCATGGTGACAATCGAGCGATAAAGTAGTGGTACGAAACGCTTCGCATATTGTCGAATTTTTTTTCTAAACACGATTACGATTAGTATCGAAACATAATTTGATATAATTACTAATAAATAAAAATAAATTAACTTATGGTAAACGTCATGAAAATGTATTGCAACGATAAATCTTTATCAAATCGCAATTATTAATTACTGCGAATAAAAATTGAAAAAGGGAACATAAAAGGGAATAAAGAAATTAATTTTATTATGATCTTTCGATTATTGATGCTTATTATAATAATTTCTCTAACGATACTTATTAGAATTAAATAAATTTCGACCAATGCTTTAAATTTTCTTAATCGGCAATCACTCGTAGAATATTTCAACGACGAATTATAACAATAACATAATATAAGTCGGCCTTAGCGATATAAACAGAATCGCGGTAATGTTTATGACTTTTATGATCATTCGCACAGTAACCTTGAACAATAAAATAATGACGTTTCATGTATTATCAAATTCTCTCTCTACATAATCAACCTTGGCGATATAAACAGTGTAATGTTTCTGACCTACAATCATTTCATCAGTGGCTTTCGAGCAGGGAGGTAATGATGTGAGACATTCCATATATTATCAAATTCTTTCTCTAACAATTATTTTGAACATTGCTTTATATAATAGATTTTCTCTTATCTTTTATATTTTTATTTATCGTTTATATTTGCGAATTAAAATTTATATAGCATATTACAAAATTAATTATATATTATATTATATATAAAATTATATATAATATAATATAACCCTCCCATGGGGTACACCTTGTTGCGGTGGGAGGGCTTAGTATCTGGACGGTGTCTTGAGATTTATCTTAAATTTTTCAATTTATGATAAATTTTATGGTGCCTGAATGGGAAGCTAAGTACCCTTTCGCGTCGTCGGTGCCGTCAACGTGCCGCGGACGGCAAGCGCTTCGTCAACGCGTCGCGTTAGGTATACCTAAAAAATTACCCTTTTAAAAAAAAGGTAAAAAAAGGTGCTAAGTCCGCGTAAAAAACAGTATATGTATTTGCAAAATAGTGTATTATTAACTGTAAAAAACTACTGTATTGTATATCAACAAAAATAATGATATCAAAAAAATTGCGCTAAGTGAAAATAAAAACTTATAAAAATACTTTAACCAAAAAAAGTTATATAAAATAGTTGTTTTAATTTTCTACATTATAACCTAGAAAAATAATGATATCCAAAAATTACGCTAATTGAAAATAAAAACTTAAAATATTTTAACTAAAAAAAATTGTACAAAATAATTGTTTTAATTTCCTACAAATAATATTAAAAAGTTGCGCCAACTGAATAAAAATTTTTACTATAAAATAGACATATTTCCTTTTTATTTTCAATATTAAAAGAAAAATGATATTAAATGAATTGTAATATATCTATTATAAAAAATCGAATTGAAAATATGAACAATCATATACATTGCAATAATCATATGCATATATCCTGAAAAGTTTAATTAAAAAAAAAAAGAAAATGATAATACATAATACAAAATTAAAAATGATTAAAAAAATTAAAAATTAGAAATTAATAAATAAAGTGTTGAGCGTTGACCAAGGAGACGTTTCTTAATGAATTTTTTTCATATTTCGACTTTGGATCATAATATTGCTGTTCACGATGCACGTAGAGCAAAAATAAAGACACTTTTTTGATATAAATCAAGCTCAAGCTATCAATTAAGCCTAGTAAGAACTCGATCCGTTCAGCGATTATTTCAATATGATAATCTCGAATATCTCCAACTATCCGACTCGCGTAAATATACACGGAGTGTATATCTTGTTGCTTACGCGGGACTTACAATTAGCCCAAGACACTACCGTGTCTCATGATATCGGTCATTGTCAGAATGCACTGTGACACATAAGTACACAAACTTATTTCGTAGTAGCTGATGTAACATCTGCGATATATTTTTCTCTAGCAAGCCTACCATACCAAATATCGTACATTTTACATCAGCTGCTACAAGGTAAGCTTCTGTTCATATATGTCACGGTATATTTCAACAATGACAAAAAAAAATATATATATATATATACACTTTTAAAAAAAAAATATATATATATATTATATATATACTTTTTTATATAATAAAATGCAACAATTTTTTATAAATGTATATGGCAGATTTAAAAACATAATATTAAATATGTATTATTTAATATAATATTGTTTTTTAATGTCATACAGCGTATATAACACATTATATAAAACATTCTTATAATATATAACACAGCGTATATAAAACATTCTTACTTATTCATAATTATGTTTCAGATGTAGCAAAGTTAAACATGACATTTCGAAATCAATAAGATGAAAACGCCTACAAAAGGTTAATTATGCAATTTTTTCTAGTGCAATTTTTTCTAGTTGCAATAAATTCTACAAGTTTTATGAATATGATTATTTTAACATTGTATAATTATTTCTCTTCTCTGACATTGAATAAGTAATCATTAGTGTGATATTATCGACTATAAATCACTTTACCAAGAAAAACGTTATTCCTACCTACAAATTATTATCATATTAAACACTCTACATCTTATATTGAACCACATTAATCGGCTTTACCAAGAAACTTTTAATTATAGACATAGTAAGTATAGACCGAGCATACATTGTTTAAGCGTTATGCATACGAAAAGAAAGACAAAAGATGTAAGATGAGTTTCTTTCTCTTTTCAATGCCGGAGAAGTGCGGAGCACTTCTCCACATCTTCTCGCGCCGATTCGTCATGGAGGGGCGAGGAGATAAGGAGAAGTGCTCCCCACTTCTCCGGCATTGAAAAGAGAAAGAAACTCATCTTACATCTTTTGTCTTTCTTTTCGTATGCTTAACGCTTATACAATGGATGCTCGGTCTATATTTACTATGTCTATGCTTCTAATTAAAAGTTTTTTACAGAATAAATCAATTTATATAAGTATTTTACAGAATAAATCAATTTATATAAGTATTTTACAGAATAAATCATTATATATAGAGATGCTATATCTGTAGAAAACTAATAATAGCAATGAATACAAATGAATTGGAAGAAGAAATAAAATTAAGATTCAAGTCAGAAAACGCAATTGATTTAAACGATTTCAATTATAGCATATAATAAGTTGTGTTCTTATGTATATAAAAATATTTTGAGGTTACGTGAGAAATAACCAAAAATAATGCTTAAATAATTGGTCTATATAAAGAAATTGATTAAAATATAATAGAAATCACAGAAAATTTTTATTCAGTCTCCCTATAAAATAATGTAGTAGCAAATAAGTGTTACATATAACAATTAATTACATGAAAATTTCACAATGCAAAAAGAGGAAGAAAAATAAAAAGTGACCAGCGAAATAAAATTTCCTTAAATATTATTTTTTTATATACATATTTTTTCCAAAATAATCTGTAATTTCACATTAAATGACAAAAACATATTATATATTCAACATAAAATATTATATATTTCTGTCTTTTTCATTATATTATTTACTACAATGTTTCCAACCTGTTTCGAATCGATATTTGTATCAGTTTTTTTGCCATTTACATAATGTATAATCGATTAATAGGAGGAAGAAGACGTAATAAAGAGAATCGTTCAATATAAATTCCGCATCGTTCAATATAAATTCCGCAATTTGCACTGAGGACAGTAGTTTTCGATTGTGCTGTGCTCACTTCATATCGGAAATAAATGTCATCGCGGAACTCATCTATTGTGCTAGTTGGATAAATATTAATACTGTATGTATTGAATAATTTTATTTTTTAAGAAGTATTTGATATTGATTGATGTTGTTATATATATATATATATATATATATATATATATATAACACAGATTTCTACATATTATATCTAGACCGTTAACAAACAGCTATGACTCATACGAAATATAGAACATGGCCATTTACAATTGGTCAAATTGTTATCAAATATCGCAGAATTCGATATGACATGTCACTTGATAAAATCAAATAAGATATGATATTAAAAACATGTACATTTAAAACACTTTAAAGTAAAAATAAAGTAATAAATAACATTTAAAAAACAGCAATTTCGATTATATTTAACATAATACAAATTATCTTGAAATTTTTTAAATCACATAAATAAATAAATTTCTCCTTCATCCTCCGTATATGAAATCAAATATCAAAAATAGAAAAGCAAATTCTCATTTATACTAATTATTTGAAATGTTTAAATAAAGAAAACATTTTGGCATAAATATTTTGCAAGTAAAATGAGAATGTGCATTAGACTAAACACTGTTCTAATAAAATTTTAAAATTTTTATGAATGATAAAATCAAGACATAGAAAAAAAATAAAAGAGAGAGAATACAAACTAAAAATTTAAATTTAATTTATAATTATTTAGAAACAATAGAAAAAAGTAAAAAAATAGTCATTATAATTAAAACTTATCAAGCGAACAATTGTTTTCTGTTTTATATCTATCTTAGTTTCATTCTTTGTAACAATTAGTCCAATAATTTATTATGAGCTTCAATTATAGTACTAATCAGTTTTTTTATACAAATTTTTAGTTTAAGCTCTTCTTCTATAAACAAAACATATCTAACATTTAAAAAATATTTTTATTAAAACTAAATTTCTTGCGTACACATAAACATGGATTTATTTATTTTATTACTTTTCAAATATTTCATGATAAACACTCACATTCATTCACATTTTTAAAAATAAAACGATTAAAATTAACAAACAATATTGACGATATTCATAACAATCTTAAGATGCTCTCTATTTTAACTCTATTTTAAATAAGTGCAAAATTCATCAATTTAAACCTAAAACAAAATTTTACAAAGTTTCTGAAATAAAATAATACAAGAATGTATTTACGCCTTTAGTCATGCATTTGCACGCAGTGATGCTTTAATGCGTCATAGAGCTAATATAAAAACATAATATGTATCTAAATATGTATCTAAGCGCAAGAAATCTAATACAAGCTTATCTAATCTGTTGAGCGCACATAATTCTAAAGAACATGCAGCTAAATTGCTTCATTCCTGATTTTCCACATTTGTATGAAGCAGTTTTTTCTTATTTAAATATGGTTAATACCTTTCAGTGCCACAGCCTGATATATTGCTGCAAGCAGACCTAACCTTTGTGATTAGATAACATATGTACGAAATCACTAAATCATGAAATAACAACTTACGCATCAAACTTACAAGATATTACTGGCTGTGATCAAAATTTCAATGAATAAACATACTTAAAAAAAAATATGATTTATAATAATATCATTGGAAATAATATCATTAATCAAGCAAAAACAGTGATCAAGCAAAAATGAAAATATAAAAACAGTTGTTAAATAATTATACATATTATTTATAGATAGATTTATAGATATTATTTAAGATTCAAAGAGCAAATGATTAAAATAATCAAAGATTTAATCCTTGATTATTTTAATCTATAAATAATATGTATAATTATTCTATAATTATTCTATTTATATATATTATTATTCTAATATGTATAATTATACATATTATTTATAGATAGAATAATTATTCTATAACAACTGTTTTTATATTTTCGTTTTTGCTTGATCACTGATTTTTAAATGATGATTAATTTGTTTAATATATATTATTACATATTATGTAACTTGCATAATTCTTTTCATTATAATCATATCTCTTTCTCTGATTTAGTGAAATTTTCTCCTCTTATCTTTTCATTTCTTTTCTCCGAAACTATCCATCGACCTATTCGTTACCCTTCTCTGGCATCATAAATACATTTTTCTATGCAATTTCTATTAGCATAGTTTTTACATAATTGCACACGATACTATAACCAAACCAATGCACGCGATAGTAATTTTACATGGGAATAAATTACACTAGTACGTATATAGTGAAATGATAGGTAGATGAAGCCAAACGGGACAGCAAAAGGAAAAAAAGAAAAAATAGGAAGTATAAAAAAATAACAATAAGTAACAATAAAACAATTCATCGGACATCACAGCAACATAAGATGCTTTTGCCTGTCTTCTGCATCTTTTTCCATAATATTTATTAATTAAAATTTATATTATTTATATTATTTATATCATTAATTAAAATTAATGAAATTTCTTTTGCAACTCTTCTTCCAATCAGAATAAAGAATTAGATAAAGAAGTTTTGCAATTTTTAAAGTACATTTAAATTAAACATAGATTGTTCAAAATCAAACGAAACATCCGACCGCCAATTAACGCGAATAATTATTCGCGCAGTAGATTTCGCGTGTAGTAGATAGCGCCCGCTCCGAGACCGCGCGGACCGCTTCGCTGCGAATTAGAATCTCAGCCGACTCGGAAAAATAACAAACACGAGCGACCGCTCATTTTCGAAAAGATTCTCTGCTTTCTTCGATTCAACTCAAAACTAATTTTTCATCGTTCAAGAATTTTCTCGAAGGACGGTATAAAACCACGCACCCTATGCCGTGTCCATCACTTCAAATTTTCCGCCAGTCTAAAACCGCGCTGTACAAGAAACAACGAGTAATAGATTTTCGCTTTTTTCGATTTTAATAGTCTTCATCGCACTGAATCGACTATTCTCGGTACTTGCAAGGCAGTGGCCTGCTTGCATAGCATTTGTTCGCCGCTTTCCTTCTTTTGCAAATTACATTTTTTTTGTACTCTTTTGTGTGTGGAGCAAATATAGTCAAATAATTCTTTGTCTTCTCTTCCACCTTTTGATTAAACTACCCGGATCACGGGTATATATTCGTACATAGATATAGCAACATTATAATTAATATTAACCTATCAATAATCTATAATTGTAAAATGATATAAATATTTTATTCTCTTTTTAACATATGAATATGTACATATACATTATTTTGCTTTAAATGTAACTATACAATTAATAATAATATCTATATGCATCGATTCAATTATTAAATTGATGCACGTATTTCTAATTGCAAAAATATCTTTAATTCAATTTTTAATTCATTTCGTCTAATGTCAATCAAAATAAAACGTGTAAAAACGTGTAAAAATCAATTAAATGAACAAAAAATTCAGCGAGTCAGCAACATATTCAATGAGTCATGATTTTCATGAAGTATAATCAGTCGAGAAGCGACTGCCACGAACAGTTCAAACGAACAGTTCCAACGAACAGTTAAACAGTGCGTATGTATGGATGTAAATTAATATTAATTATTAACATAATTCTTTAATTCATATTAGTTGTATTGTTTTTAAAGTCATATGTTAAAAATAATTATCTTCATTAATATTAACATTTCGATAAAAAAAACGATGAAAATAATATATTCATAATTGCATATTCACAATAATGTAGTTCCGTTTTACTTATGATCGTGTTCAGTCTTTGACGAGGTCCCACACGGACTCATTGTTCTTAAAAATTGATTTTAAAAATAAAGTTTGTTAATGTGCCTTGTGCTTTGTACAAGATTATTATCTATGCCGACACTCTGATTACCACTACTTCGGCTAATTTTGTATACTTGATAAGGACCACAACCATATGGTCGAAACGTCGTATTGAATAAATTATATTTCTGGCTAGTTGGGTCGACTACACAATCTCATTTAACCTTCTGAAAATTCGACTAGCGATATTAAGCTATCTATAAATTTCCATATTCATAATTATTATACATATGGATAACATATGTAATAATTTTAGATTGCGCCCCTTTAATTTTGTGAAGGACAATGAACACCACTATAAAGATGATTAAATTAGAAATGCCTTCATTTAAAGAAATATTAAAAGATACTGGAGGAAACGAACAACTTCTAGAAGAGCTACTGATTAAACTTCGACTATGGTTGAAGCAGCAAATTCATCTTCCTGAAGGTTTGCATTTTTAAATTTAAAGATAAAAAAGTAAGATCTTATTAGTCAATTTATTATATATCATCTTCAAATCTAAAGAGCATATTTCGTAAATGTACTGATAAAAATATAATTAAAATATATATACACATAATTTATATAAAAGGAGAAATTATGCGCGAAGAATTAGTAGATCAGAAATCAAATATTAAATATTTAAGAAACAATATTTTCTCTCTTAGTTTATTATAATAAATACATATTATATGTTATGAATCGTCTCCTATCTCCTGAATAATAACCGACTAACAATTCAACATACAAGATCACTATAGAATATAAAATGGCAATTATTTTAAAATTAATATTAATATGTACATTTATATTTATGTTACAAATATATATTTTACTGTATGTAATATAAAAAAATATTAATTTTTATTATATCTAATATACGTATATAACTTTTGCGCGCATAATTTCCACAAAGTGGATTATTTTATTGCTTTTCCAAATCTCATAGCTACGTGTTTAATTATTAATAATTCACAAAATTAATATGTTACATCTTTGTAATATATATTGACAAATATAATAGGATTCCAACCTATTTGTTTATATTTATTTATGATTTCTTTTATTCATGAAATCTTATGCATATCGTATGTAATAATCAACATTATTTTATACTTCACAGATATCTCTGAAAAACGATTAAAGTTCTACATTTACAGTGCAAAATTTAATTTAGAAAAAGTTAAGAAACGCTTGGATTTGCATTATACTCTTCGTAATCTAATTCCGGAGGTTTTCACAACTCGTGACCCATTGGCTGACTGTGTGCTTAAAGTAAATACATATATGTAAGTCTTTAAATAACACTTCGAAGTTGTCGGATTCTTGCATAATATATTAATATTTAAAAATTTTTTTAAATCATAAAAACATTTTATATCACTAAAAGTATTAATCGCAATTTTATATAATAGTATAATATAATAATATACACACAAGTATAATTATACGTAATTATTATACATAGTTAATTTTTTGCTCAATCATTTAAGATCGATTATTTTTGATTCAAGAAAAAAAAGAAGAGAAAAAAAGAAAACTCATAAAGACATTGTTACAAATATTTCTTTATTTCTTTCAGACAAGTTGTAACCCTACCAATATTAACATCAGAAAATTATAGAATAACTATAGTACGGTGGTTACATTCCGACAGTTCTGTATTTAATGTATATGATCTTATAAAGTACGTATATCTACAAGTTAAACGTAATATACATAATATGTGCAAACAAAACAGTATTATACGTGCACAGTACAACAAACAAACAAACAATATTAATGCAACAGGAAATTTTTTAATTTTATAAAAAAATATTTTATATAAATACTTTTTTTATACTTATTTCTCTTGCCGCGTATGCGAGCATGAATATATTATATATTCTTATATTTTTTTAAATTTATGAATTATCGAATCTTATCATGCATTTCCACGATCGTACATAACCATGAAAGAATTTATGCGCAAGTCACGAGATGTTGTAAAAGCACACTCAAAAAACGCTCTATTTAGGATAATATAATCATATAATATTATAAAAAGATATATAAATTAAAAGGGAGGACACGCACGGATATAAAAACACAATAATTAACAACGATGGAAAGAAGAAGAAAGAAAAAAAGAAATTGAGCTGTATGCAACATTTTACAAGCTTTTTATATTATGATTCACGCGATGCTCTTTTTTACTGACGAAATTATTATGTAACATTATTAGGTAAAGCGATTTCGATTTCACAGGGTCGCGCTATCCAGCTGATCCAATCACAATGGATCGATTTTTCGCTTTATTCTGCACGATTTGTAAAATCTTCTCTCTCTCTCTCTCTCTGCGTAAGTTAAATATGCAAGTCCTTTTCTCTTATGCTTGCTATTATCGATAATGAGATAGAAACAAGATACTTTCACGCCCTGCTTTTTCCTCTAGTCTACTACGATTCTACTACCCTCAACAGTACACATCGAAAGGAAAAGCTAAAATCAATAACTTCGATAAAATGAGATAAAAAAGGAAGTGCAGGAAAAATTGTTGGCCTTTTTTTGTGCGGATTCTTATACAACATCTCGAGATTAGATAATTTTATATTTTTTATTAAATGAAGCAACTCGGCAACAAATTATTTAATTATTTAATAGATAATATTATTTAATAGATTTGATGGATGATAATTGATTGTTATTATATATATATACACCTATATACCTACATACATATACACATATACCCAAAATATTAATATACACATATACCCAAAATATAAATATTATACAAATTTTTATTCATCTTTGTAAAAATATCAAGATAAAATCAATAAAATCAATAAAAATATACTATTTTTTTAAATATTACAGATATTTCGGCATGATAATGGAGACACGTATAGAGGAAGATATAGTTAATTCCGATGTTCTAATTTACGATTGTACCAATTTGACTTTCGGTCATATATTGAAGTATACACCAGTTGCAATAAAAAAATTCGACATTATTTTGGTATTTAAGAAAAAAATTTCTTATATGTATATACTATACATATAATATATACTTTACAAAAATTAATTTTTATTATTCAATCTATATAGGAATCATACGGTTCAAGAATGAAAGCAATTTATGTGATAAATACACCAAGTTATTTTGATGTCTTAATGACAATAGTTAAATCAGTAATGAAGGCCAAAATTGTTAACCGAGTATGTTAACCGAATATAATTTAAAACTAGAAACTTTATATTTCATGTGTATATGGATTGGAATAATTATATAGTTTTAATTGCAATTATAATATTTTAGACACATCTTTATACATCCGGAATAGAATCAATATATGGGATTATACCAAGATCTCTTTTACCACTAGAATATGGTGGTGAACAACCATCACTGAATATTTTATCAGGTACAATATTCTTTACTTCTTTAAAAATATGTTTTTTTTATCAGTGACTTTATTTCGATTTTAAATATTTAAAACGAAATGTTAAAAATAAATACATAGATAACATTTTCACTTGAATATTAATCTATATGTAATAAAAAATATTATCTCTCTTTAATTTTCATGTAGCTTAACAATAATTATTTTATTTTCACAAAAAATTCTTTTAAATATATTCATAAATATATTTATTATATATTTAGAATGTAAAACATATACTAAACAATGTTCAAATTTCTTTGATATTGTTTCAGATATGTGGAACGCAAAATTGATAGAACGAAGAGAATGGTTCCTGAAGGAAGAAAAAGTTAAAGTTAACGAATCTCTCCGATCAAATTCTGTAATAAACCCGGACGATCTATTCGGAGTTTCTGGAACATTTCGAAAATTAGACATTGATTAACGTGAAAATGATAACGTGTTATTTTAAAGGTATAGATAATAAGATTTATGTTATCGGATATATACATACAGATATATGCACACACCACAGATTAATAGATCTGTACACACACTATAAATAGTTATATGTAATGTAAGGAATTCTTAAAAATATTAATATTCATAAAATAAAATAAATTTTATATTGACATTGTACGTAAAAAATAAAAATTATAGCATACAAGTAGGACATTATTTAGGCATTATCATAATAAATGATAAGTATATGACAAATTATACAAAAAAATGCACTGAAAAAAGACAATAATTGCATAATAAAAAAAATTATAGTTGAGATTCCTATTTTCAAAATTATTACTACTATAACATTGATAATAATAACCTTGTGCGTAGTAATAATAATTTTAAATATAATTGCCACTAAAAATATATTTATATAATTTATATATATATATATTTATGATAATTATATTTTTAGCAGCAATTATATTTAAAGTTATTATTACTATTATATATATATATATATATATATATATATATATAATTATATATATTATTATATATGTTATTATTACTATTATATATATATATATATATATATATATATATATTATTATTACTATTATTATATGTGTGTGTGTGTGTGTGCGTGTGCGTGTGTGTGTGCGTGTGCGTGTGCGTGTGTGTGTGTGTGTGTCGTGTGTGTGTCGTGTGTGTGTGTGTGTGTGTGTAATCATCGTAATCTTATATGATATATAAATTGTTATTGCAATATTTTTAATAATTATTATACATCTTTTTTTTCTCTTAAAGAAACTCTTCTTCTTCTTCTTTAAAAACCTATGTTTGAAAAGCATCATTTAGCTATAAAATAAAATAATCCCCTTACATGTTATTTTTAACAGTTAAATATTGAATCTTGTAATTATAAATTATTTTACTATCAATTGTTGTGATTGCGAAACAGACAAACGCTCGATAAAACACGATTGAACATATAATTCTAAAACTATCGATGCTGTCGACTATATTTTGAATGTGAGACAAGGGCAGCATTGTCGAGAGTGAAAGGGGATTGTATGTTATAGGTACTCGTATGTTCAAGTCCTGAGGGAGTAGACAGTGAGGTCAGAAGCACGATAATGGGGCTAATAAATGGCCTCGGACCGCCCTTTGCAATGCATCCTTGACTCGTTGAAACCTTTCGAAGAACATGTATCATGCTGAAACCGCAATTTTCACGTATATATCAGCTTTTATTAATATATGATACTATCAATTTGTTGCTGCATGTAAAGTCGCGCATAAACGTATAAAACTTATAATATGATTTCTTACAGAATATTAAAAAGTAAACAGTAAATTATACAATATTAATAAATGTACAATATTAATATTAATAACAATATTACTTTAAAATTAATTCATATATGCGATAATTATGTATATAAATAAATCATCTTTTATTTATAATATAATACATTTATAATACATTTATATATTTAAAGCAGCTGTTATAAAATGGATAATTAATTTGAATCTCTTATATATTTTGATATTCATTAAAGTAAATTTATATTTCCTAAAGAAAAAAATCAAAATTTCACAAAATACTCATACATAACATTTTTTTAATGCTACATAAATATGCAACGAAAATCACATATACAGTAAACAACACTTACTGTATTATATACACATTATTATTATATATACATTATTCTATATATCATTGTATAATAAAGATTTTTTCAAATTATAACTTTAAGAAATGAATACTGTTTTAATACTACAGAATTAATAGCTAGAAATCAATAGTCATTGTGTCTCTGCAAAGCATTGTCTCGTTTACAAAAAGAGCAAAGGCTGCTACGAATGGCTGAAGAGTCGGATTATCACACAATCTGTACGTACTTATTTTCAATTTCCAGCAGAAGAAAGGGATAGAAGTTGTCCTTATCTTGCACCAATCCGTGAAGACTTACACCAGAGAGAAAACTGAGAGATGTCATGGCCTGCTTTTAGGTGATCCCTGAAAGCGATATTCCCTCTATGGACATTGAAAATGTGGACATGAACTACAAAGCCAATATCCATGAATGTTCTCAGAGGATATCATGTGCACAATTTCTAGTTTCATTTCGTGCTATGTGCACGAAATGCCGGTAGCACCAGAGTATAACAAGACACTCATGTATATAAATTGATAGTAAATAAATTATGCAATCGTGAAAGATACTGTAATCTTCTAATGTAATGTTCAAAGATGAAATAAGTATTTTTCTATATTCATTGCCATGTTTATATATTTTTATTTACAAAACACGAAATGCCTGCTGTGGAATAAAAACATTTTTAACCGTTATTTCTATAAATCTTAATTATAGCAATAAACTGATCTTTGATATTTATTAATCACTTTTTTAATTATTTAAAAAAGTTATTATATTATTAATTATTTACTTATTTATTTATTACTTATTTAATTATTAATACATGTATAGAATTTGTCAAATTAATCACTGATTGTTCTAAAGTTTTTATAATTAAGATTCGAAAAATATAGTTGCAAAATATTTTAAATATCTCTTCCTTTATATAAAATATAAAGAATTCATATGTTCCATTCTAATATAGTCAACATTATTTATATACTTTTATTATAATTTTCTTACCAGCATAATATTTTTATGCTTAATATTTTATACAATGTACTAAATTATAAAATTTAATATAATTACAAAATAGTATTACTATTAATAAATAGGTTGTATTCATACTGTCTTTTAATTTCTAATCATTTCCAATCATTATGCATTTCTATTATCTATTTCTATTATCTATTATTTTCTTCTTCGAGTTCTTGGATTATTATGGATTATTGTATATTCCTTGGTGTTAAAATCATAGGGATTATCATCATTTGTCATGCTTATTCCTTTCTATGGAGTCCATCGAAATATTTTCTATGGACATTTATTCTCTCGAGTATAGATATTCAAATCACTCAGAGAGAGAGAGAGAAAGAGAGAAAGAGGAGGAGAAAGGATTTGAAATATTCAAATCACTGTAGTTGTCTTTTTTCTATTTTCTCAATTACTGTCTCTTTTTCTTTTATTTTATTCAAAAATATTAATATAATTAAAAATAACATATATATAATTTTGATATCTTTCTTAGTCTGACTCTTTCCCTTCGACTTGTCCGGCATAGGTAACCCTAAGGCCGGCATTCATAATTCATTCTTATATTTAAGATCGTTTTAAGTAAGTTGGAAAATACAACTATTTTACTAACTGATCGGAATCTCAAGACGTGATCTAAGATCATACTTAAGATTATTTTAAATATAAAAATAGTCTACATATATGAATATCGGCGTATTATACGTTACTGCCGGCATAGCTCTTAGGTTCATTAGAGTACTCAAACCTCATCCGGCAAATGCCTCTGTAAGGTGCAGATACGAGGAAAAAATTTTTTTTAAATTTTATTTTTATTTTCTTTCAATACAGGGTTTAATACAAAAGTGAATGTAAAATATAATTTGAAACTTAATACAAAATAATTTTTATTTATTACATGGAATAATTTAATACACGAAAATGTCTCTAAAATATACATATAATAAAAAATTTACTAAATATTTTTATCTAGTCCAGACAAACCCGATTAGCGATGATTAATTATGCAACATTTATCATTGATAATCGATATGCGATAATAGAATTTAATAAGTTTTATGTAACGTAAATATATATAATCGTGATTAAAAGAATCATTAATAAAATTATTGATCATTTCTTCGATTGTAGAAGAAAATATTTGCATTATTAGCGCATTTTGTGTAGATTATCAAAGGAAATATTCAAAATACGAAAAAATAAAATAAGCTTCAATGTAAATCAACAATTAAATTACAAAATAAATCGCGATTTAAAATTCGCGAGAAAACGCGAATAAATAAATCGATAATAATAGGAATATTCGATTACGAGAAATATACGTATAATTTTTATAATATGATAATCAAAACTATCAATAGATACGCGACATAATTATTATCACACAAATGATGATACATGAAGATATTTTGATAAACATTTGTGGTCCGCATTGTTTATGAACAATTATTACTTTAATGATATTTATAGAATAAAATATAATTCCCGCGACGTTTTATCTCGTTTTATTTTTCAATTATTTAAAATTTAATTATTTAATTTAGAATCAAAACACACAACAAAACAATCGAATCATAAATCGAAATAATTAACATAATAAAAAGCTTTGCGATACATGAAATTAACAAATATTATTTAATTAATCCATGTAATCTAAAACTTTTAGACACTTTAACATTTCGTGTATATGTTAAAGTACGTAAAATATATCAGCAGTGAATGGATAATAACATGATCGGCCTTGGCGGCGTATGACGCGCTGTGTTTACATGTACGGTCTTGATATCATTCACACGGCAACATTCGAAGAGTAAGGTGCGAAATACTTCGTATATTATTAAATTTTTTCTCTAACGATAAAACACAATTATGACTAGTATTAAAACATAATTCGCTATGATAATTATAATTAGTACTTGCTAAACTTTTAATTGTAATTACTACGCGATCGGGAATGCCGTGCAAAATGTCTCGCGATTTTTGCGTATACTAATATTAATTAACTAATCTTAATTAATCTTGTTTTCAGGAGTGAAAGTGAGTGCAACGAAAAAATAGCGAAGGAAAGGAAAAGCAAGTCTAAAAAGCACTGGGCCACGTACTAAGCAACATTATCCGGTAAATAGTTTATAAATTATTTATCATTTTATCATTTATTTTATTCAGATTATATATATATATATATATATATATATATATATATATATGTCATTTATATTCAGATCATATTATATATTGCATGTTTTCTCAATAACGATTCTCTCTCTTTCCCTCTCCCTCTCTCTCTCTCTCTTTCTCTCTCTCTCTCTCTCTCGCTCTCTCTCTCATTGTAAATTATCTAAATTATTTAAGTTTTTAAATTATATTAGTATAACATATATCTAAAATATTCTGGATTATCTTATTTTAATATACTTAAAATATATATAATAAAATATTCTTATATTATTTAACACTTTTACATAGATAGTAATATTTCATAAACTGTTTCACAATAATATATTTAAATATTTTATACATAAAAGATTCCATAATGAATAAATTGTTTAATAAATAATCAATTTTAATCAATCAATTAAAACACTTCTATAATTCAATATTCTATGCGTGTGTATTTTATAGAACATAAAATATTTCGACAACGATTATCAATAAAATCATGACTTTGGCAAGAGTAGTGCGTTGTTTATATATTACAGTTTTGCTATCATTTGCTCGGTGATATTCAAGCAATAAATAATGATACGAAACGTTTCGTATACTAATTAATTGTTTAAATAATAAATAATCATTTAATTAATCTATAAATATAAAAACTTCTACAATTTAATATTTTGCGTTACAATCAAACAACTAAACTTCAAATTTTTCTAAAATGTAAACATAAATTAATTATTAATTAAATGACTGCTATCACAACTTTATTTATTATTTTAATATTTTCATTCTTATAATTCGTATATTATACAGCATATAATATGCGAATCAGTAGCATACGCATTGCTGTAGCAAGTAGCGAATGAAATTTTAATCTCGTGTAAAGGTAAATCTCATGTTGCTCTTTTATCATTTAAGTGCGTATATAAGTATGATTATTTTGTATGATTATTGAGAGTTTCGTGCAAAGTGCGCCACGTATTTGATTAATTATAATTAAATCGTGTTTTCGTGAGTGAGTGAATGCCACAAAAAGAAATAACGAAAGATATATAAGAGAAGAAAGGAAGTTTGGAACATACGGAGTAAAATGAAGTAACATGAAGTAAAACAATCGAATAATATATGCAAATAATTAGCATAACGAAAGGCCCCGTGACAAATTGTTTAATAAATAATCAATTTTAATCCATAACTTAGAATGCTTCTATAATTTAATATTTCACGATAATGTACAATATATTTTATAATATATAAAATATTTTGGTAACGAATTATTGATAACACGATGTTCGATTTTGGCAATAATATGGTAAAATATAAACAGTAGCGCGCTATATTACAGCTTTGTCATTATTCGCACGGTGACTCTCGAGTAAAGTAGTGGTAAGAAACGCTTCGTATACTGTAATTTTTTTACTAAACACGATTACGATTAGTATTGAAACATAATTTGCTGTAAATATTAACAAAAATTAATTAATTAGAAATTA